TCTATATCATGATCTTTACATATGCTCCAATGGAGATATGCTGCAGCATTATTGTGCCTGGAGATGTACTCTGTTTTGGCTAATACCTCACATCCAGATACAATATGGTCCACTGTCTGTTCATGTTGCGAACACAATCTGCATTTACTCTCCACTTGCTGGCCACATATTACTTTCTGGTATTTTCTGGTATTTATTGCCTGGTCTTGAGCTGCTACAAGTAGTCCCTCTGTTTCTCCTTTCAAATTACTTGACAACCATTTGTTGGTGGTGACTGTGTCTACATGAGGCTTCTCTAGGATCTTTGGATACTGGCCATGCAATGCTTTGTTTTTCCACTTTTCTTCTTTCATTGACTTCATCCTGGACTTAAACACGTGTTCTTCTTCTTCTTCTTCTTCTTCTTCTTCTTCTTCTTCTTCTTCTTCTTCTTCTTCTTCTTCTTCTTCTTCTTCTTCTTCTTCTTCTTCTTCTTCTTATTATTATTTTATCTGTGTCTGACCCAACTGAATGAGCTCCAAATATATTTTTCCTCTCATAGCCTTTCTCCTTATCTGTAAAAATCCACATAATTTTCTTCACTGTCCAGGGTTCACAAATACGCCAAATTTGGCATATTTTACGCCAAAATTGTTCAGATCACTCCACAGAGGTTACGGAGGGAGTCACTTTGACTCCAGAAATTTTCAGTAACAAACAGGGAGCCACTTTGACTCCAGAAATTTTAGGTAACAAACACAGTTTTGTCCTGACCTTTGTCCTAACAAATACAATTTATATTAATTGTAAACGTTGTAAACCTTAATTAAATCATCAAAATTAAAGAATTATACTGCACGACAAAACAGGGTTAATTATGATCAAAGTTTACTTGATGACTGCCATCATGGATTTAAGCTTTCCAGGTCAGCAGACCGCCACAGCTACTTCGTGTATCCCTCACGATAGTGTATACATGCCGGGACCACGTACTGGAAAGTCTGAAAATGGCTTTTTTCGTTGTGATACTTGACTCCAAATATTCCAAAATGACTCCAAAATTTGTGAAGCAGAAGTCACAGTGAATCCACTTATCAATAAAATTTGCAAACCCTGACTGTCTATTTTATTCTTTTTTTGGAAGATGAAATAAAATTTTGAAAATAAAATTATGAATAATATGACATGTTTGGTACGCAAAAACTCTTTTTTCAGCATCTTATTCAAGCTCAAAAAGTCAATATGAAGATAAATGGTTAAAAGCATGAATACGTTTTTTCTTTCTCTCTTAGGATGATTTTCATCTTATACAGCTGTGACAATCACATTATGTTTACAGATACATTCTGTACTGGCCAGTAAACTATTTCCTGTATACCCAACATATCTAATCAAACATCTGGTCAAATCATCCAACCCAACTCAATTGAAATTAATCCAATGATTAAGTTTGATTGCGGAAAACGGACAAACAAAATCAAACCCACAAAAAAACTTGGCCAATGCAATCAAATGTAATTGATTGTTCGATTTCTGACAAAGTTTTAATTGGTCAGTTTTTGGACAGTTCAAAATAAATTGTCTCAGCTGGTTTTGCTTGGAAATTCATTTCAGTTCTATCAGAAGACTTCTAAAGTGTTGTTTGACTCTGGGAAATAATACGTTTAGACCTATTGAACAACAGAACAACTAATTTTTTTATTATTGTACAACACACTCAAAGCAGTACATGTCAATGTCTAGAAATGACTATAATATTTTGTTACATCACAGTTATGTTTTTGTCTTAAAACTGAGAGAAAGTCTAATCAGTAGCTCAGTTAACATTCAAAAAGATTGTAAAATCCATGTTGAGGTGCCAGAAAACTATTAATTCACCGAAATATTCTTTTCAAGCGAAATAACTTTGCAAGGAATGATTTGCACACGTCATAGCCTGCACAGGTTGCGCAGATGACAACAACAACACCCATCTCTTTTCCTTAATATCAGTTATCAAATTGAGAAGTTTTCTCTTAAATTTATATACATTATAAAACACATGGTTAACGCTTCATCGTGTACTGTTGAGTTATGGATGCACTTAGGAGACGTTTCAGGAGGATTACTAAGCTCACAAGAACTCAAGGTTAGGCTTTTGTACATTATGCTAGCATTTTTTTGAGCATTTTAGTGAGGCAAAAGCACTGAGTATTATTCGAGCATTTTAGTGGCATTTTCCCCGGAAAATTAATTTTTCCGATAAAATAAAATAGAAATAAACTTTTTTAGGAGCCCATGCCCCACAAGCTCCTGCGTTTTTAACAAAAATGAAGTCAAAATTCCCAAAAATCTAATACAGCTGTTTTTTTGGCTGTATTTATGAACTTGTACACGTTGTCATTGTTACTTGCAACACTTCCACATTTTTGTGAGAGTAAACTTTGAAATTAATTTAAAAAACTGTTTGTATAATGAGCATTATCCGAGCATTTTAGTCACTTTTTTGGGCAGACCGAGCATTTTAGTGGGAAAAATGGAGCATTAAGGAGGAGCATTTTAGTGGGGGAAGCAAAAGCATAATGTACAGAAGCCTACTCAAGGTAGAGTTTGTTGACGTCATCAGCGTACTCAATGGGAATATGAAGCACTCTCGCACTATTCAATTTGATGAGGCGAACATTCTAGCTATATGTTATAACATGAATTGAAACCTCTTTCCATCCTAAGCCACATTCCAATTAAGCCCCTCAGCCACCTCGTCTACCCAACAATAACTATAAAATCAACATATGATTTTATTAGCTGTTTAATTTTTATTTATTGTGAACTTTAGGTAACCCTTCATTGAAGGAAGTAGTTCCCTTTGGGTCCTACTATCAATTCTTGTAGTCTTTTATGTATTGCCACTACCATTACCTAAAAATCTGGTAAAGAAGCAAGAAATTACGTACCTGTACAAAATACTTGTACTTTTTAAAAAGCCATATGACGAAAATAATGAAAAGGCTGTGAATTAAAGATGTTCACTTAGTTTACACAAGCTTAGAAAACTTACTTTGATTACTAATTATAAAATGGTGTCAGCGATAGGGGGACGGCAAAATTTTACCTGCTTCAGATTATTGTTGGCAATTTTTTATCTCTAGCAAGTTCGAATAATAAAAGGAATACCTAGAAAAAGTTCATCGTGAATCTCGACGAAACATGCGGGAAGTCATCAATATCGGCTTAACTTTAAGCCTATCAGTGTTCGTGATTCTCACCTGGCGATCAAGGAAAATGAAGCCACCGTCAACTTCACACCAGAAATCACCTTCTAAAACGACAACAAGATAAACAACAGAACAGTGAGTTCCAACGCCTGTCAAGTAGAAATTTGCGTTTATGAAACAGGACAAACAGGCAAGATCACTTACACAATAGTGTTGGTTTTCTGTAAACAAGGAACATTCACCAGCCATCTTGACATCATTACAGTACCCTTCTGAATGGAATGAGTTTGTAAAATACCATGTAGGGGAGGGTTGTTGATTGCTGGAGTCGTGTTGGTCATTTTCATGTCTTGTCTTTAATTGCGTAAATCGATTTGGAGAAAAATATTACAACAATAAAACATTAAAAACAAAAATTGCCTGTGTAGCTGTTTAGGTGTAAATTCAGGGCTTTTAAAAAGATCAAATGCGTTAAAAAAAAACAATGAAAAACAAAATATCCCCTCAGCACCCTGCTCAAAACAAAAAGGCGAAGTCAGCTGAGGTATCAACCTCGCTGAGAACCTGGGAGCGAGGTTGCTGGATCGTGCTGCTCGCCTTGACTCAGCCAACAGTGAGCTGCTTCTTCTCAACTGTACATTTACCCAGTTTTGCCATTTGAAGTTGAATGATGAGCTTCTGGGTTAAAGCTACTTTTTTGCTCTGCTTCTATGGCTTCTTCAAGGAAATGAAACCCTCAGAACCTTTCCTCACTCCATATTTGAAAGCACCTCCCATGAACTTGACGGAAGAACAACTGGACAATCAAATCTACCCCGTGTGGACGTACTCGTATCTTGTAGTCCTGTTCATGGTGTTTTTAGTCACTGATCTGTTGAGATACAAGCCAGTAATAATAAGCGAGGGCTTGGCTTATTTGGTAACAAGAATACTTTTGATCTGGGCTAGGGGTGTACTGGCAATGCAGTTTATGCAGTTCGCATATGGCGTTGCGACTGGCACTGAAGTGGCATATTATTCCTACATTTATGCAGTTGTTGACAGAAGTCATTACCAAGTAGTGACCAGCTACACGCGGGCTGCAGTACTTTTTGGAAGAATGTTATCTGGTGTGGTCGGTCAGCTTCTTATATCATTGAAAGTAGCAGACTATCTGGCTCTCAACTACATTTCTTTGGTGAGTGTCTCAATTGCCTGTTTGATCAGTCTATTTCTACCAAAGGGAACTGGCAACGTGCTTCTGATGAACACAGAAAGCGACTCCTCCTCCGAAGAAACAAAGACAACATGCTTATCTTCATGGGGAAAAACTATGCGCACTATGTTTCGTGACTTTGTGTTGTGCTATTCCAACAAAGAGCTACTCAGATGGTCGCTGTGGTGGGCCTTTGCAACCTGTGGAGAATTCCAAGTTGAAAATTATGTCCAGAACTTATGGGATGTTATCTACCCTTCCCATAACCACAAGATTTACAATGGTGGTGTCACTGCAGTCTCTCACCTAACGGGTTCTTTGGTGGCAGTTGGCCTGGCTTATGTGAAGATAAACTGGTCTTTGTTTGGTGAATTATGCCTTGGCATTGTTTCAGTGGCAGATGCATTCTTTCTTTTCCTGAGTGCACAGACAACCAGTATCTGGATGGCATATCTTATGTATGTGCTCTTCCGGACAGCATATACCTTCCTCATAACAGTAGCAAGGTAGGATAAAGTGTGTGCATAGTTACCAGAAGAAAATTGACCACCTTAAACCATTCACACCTCAACTGGCTGTAACTACCAGTGTGGAACCATGACCCTTGCACCTATGTGACATATTTATCAGTTTAATGGGCATATATTTGATAACTTGTGCACTTATTGAGTACAAGGTACAGAGATCATTCAAACTATACAATTCTTTACAAATGTGTGTGGTCAGAGGAAAAAAGCAATAAAGAAATGGAAATCATACCAAACACTTTGACCAGGACATTACAATAAAAAAATTTTGTCTCACTAATCATCCACCTTTGCTTCAATCAAAATAGTTTCAGGATCATATATAGGTGTTTTACGTGCATACATAACAGAAACATTGGTTTTAGTTTGCAGATTGCCAGACATGTTGAGATGACAAGATTTGCTCTGGTGTTTGGAATAAATATGTTTGCTTCTTTGCTTCTTCAAACAATTCTAACAAGCATTGTTGTAGACAAACGTGGACTAAATCTTCCAGTTTTAACACAGGTAATGTTAATTATTTATAATTGTGTGTAGCTTAATCATTTCTGTTATAAACTTGTTATACATTTCCTCTTGCAAGTTAATTAGCCTATATAATTATGTTTCTCCTATTTCCCTCTTTCATAACACTTTAAGTCATGTGTAGACGTTGCTTATCATGACAAGATATGCCCAGTGAACTACTTACTGTGTACCCTAGATAACAATCATTTAATTTTAACAACTCATTTGGTGAGGCCCTTTCCATGTTCTTGTGATAATAACAATAATAATAATAGTAGTTATTATAATAATGGTTTATTAACAGTATATCCACCAAGTGGCTCTTTTTTTAGACTTTTTTTACCCTCAGCAGTATTTATAGCTCTAATGCTAGTGGGGCCGAGCAAATTCCTGAAACAAATAAATTAAATCAAACATAAACAGGTTAAAAATCCCAACTGGCTGGAGGCGAACCAGATTGCTATTTACAAGCGTGGTTGAGGATTTGAACTCGGAACTAATGAAAACAAATCCAGCTAGCGGTCAAGGCAGGACTTGAACTTGGGGCCTCCGAATCACATCCACTCAGCCACGCTGCCTCCTTCACCTGCCTTCACCTGTTAAAAACTTGTGATGAGTTGGAGGAAAGTTTGTCATAAGCTGAAGTCTCCAGGTGGAAAACATAGTATAAGATTCTTTTTCCCACAGTATTTACTGTCACCCATTCCTCAACCATCTGGCTGCTGATTTCAGTGGCTCATAGATTTTGAACTTACTCCTATTGCCCCCAAAAAACATTTTCTTTTGCTGGAATATGCACCTTGCCCTTACAAGCAAGAAATAATGTCAAGGGCATGATCATCGTTACCTGCTTCTTACAGAGTGTACAGAAAACATAAAACTTAAGCAACAGAACAACTATCAATGAGGTAATTTTTCAGATTTTTTTCAAAAGCAAATAAGGAAGAAGAGCTGTGAGTGAAATTGGCAACAAATTTCAGCTTTTTGGTCCATGATAAAGGACACTGAACTGCTTAACCCGTTGACTACTGTGCTGGCCAAAAGTGGCCATAGAAGACAACACTGCTTTCAAACATTGTATCTTTCTTAATCGCACAAACATTGCCTTAACTGTCAGCAGTGAGCATCAAGTAGAAAGTCCTTCAAATTGGCATATCCAATAAATACAAAAAAGTCAGGGCTTTTTGCAAAATATTTCCTTTTGAATTTAGACAATAACAAGAATGACTGTTTTTAACGTTATAGAAAAACGGAAAAAATCACATTTTTTCTTTCAGGTTTTTTACAGAAATCATCATTGCAAAACCAAAAGTCAACATTCACAGTAACATTCAGTCCTTGTTTTAGCTTAGAAGTGACTTTTTTTGTTCTTATTCATTTCTCGGGCCGATCTACAGCTTTTTGTTCTAGTGCATCCTGGCCTTGCCTCGATTTTCAACATCATGACTGCATTGCATGCCAGGAAATAGCCAGAATTTTTGACTGCATTCATTCCTTCCCCCACTTTCTTCATATTTATACTAAGTCCACAGCCACTCCAACCTACCACGGAAATTTTGTGCTTGTTGTGATTTTCAGTGGTTTTAAATTCCAAAATATGCCATGGTAGGTCAAGAAATTCATCAGTAGTTGTGTCCCAAAGTTACTTCTTTTCAGAGCAGCAATTTTTCTAAACTTTGCAAAAATCGCATTATTATAGCTGAACAAAGCATAATGTCTACATCAGAATGACGTTTCCAGAAAACTCAAGCCTCCAGTGTTTCAGAACAGCAGTACTTTCCATGGTAAGCCCAAATACAGAGTCACAAAATCCTATGGACTGTTTGAATGAAGAAAATCACTCAAAAAAGTAAAAAGCCCTGGACGTCAATGGATTAATGTTTATTTTACAAAAATGAGGTCTGTACTAAGAGGCCAGTCAAGTTTCATAATGGTGGATGTGATTACTGTTTAAAAAGAGGTTACAAAAGCTATTAGACAGAAGATTATGGTGATACAAATACATGAAACGTGAAAGCAGCAACAGAAAAATAATTACTGTTTTATATGTCAAGGACTTTAAGTTGGCACTATGTGCTTTTACAAAAGATAAATAGAGCAGTAGCCGGAGGACCAGGTAACATTACAGTATATTAGGTAGGGATATAACAGGAAGTAATAATAAGGTCAGCAACATTTTGGATGAAAGATAAAAGCAGGCTTTTGCAATAATCCCCACTGCTTTTGATGTTTTTTTTTAGGAACAAAGCTAATATTAGGTTTCCAGGAAAGGTACTGATCAACAATAACAGCTAAGAATTTAGTTTCTATAACTTTCTTGATCACAGTATTTTCCATAACAAGAGGAACATTAACATTAATTTTCTTTTGCATTGGATAAAAACTCATTAGGTTCATTTTAGTCAAATTTAGAGATAACTTATTTGCTTTAAGCCAAGTAATTATTTTTGCACTTTGAGTTCATTGTTAGCAATAGAAATAAGGTGGTCAGTATCCCTATGAGAACAAATGATATTTGTATCATCAGCAAACAGTAAAGATTGAGTCAGGTTAGAGACATTAGGAAGATTATTAATGTAAATAATGAATGGTCTAAGGATTGAGCCCTGTGGGATGCCACAGGAAATTTTTCTGTAGTAAGACCAACTGAACCTAAACAGGTCAAATTGAGTCCGATCCTCAAAATAACTTTTAATTCACGACAAAGCAGTGTCCCAAATAGTTTTAGTGTTTCAGTTTTTGGCACAATATTTTATGATTAATGATATCACGCGCCTTAGATAGATGTAAGAAGACGCCTAACATTGATTAATTTCTGGAGATGGTTTCTTTTAAAGTTAACAATAAGAATATTTTTCGAATGAGGCCTTAAACTGCCGATTAAAAAATAAAATTGGAATCCAAGCTTTCACCAATCAACCGCAATATCTGGCATCATCATCATCCCTGATGAAGCCGTTGATCAGCAAAAGCCTGGATTCCAATTTTATTTTTTAATCAGTAGTTTAAGGCCTCATTCGAACAATATTCTTATTTTTAATCATGCTGCTTAAACTTAACTTTTTAACTATTGTTCTATAACTCAAGTGGATCTAATTGAGGGATGAACAATACAGGAAGCTAGTCAGAGTTAGTTATGAATAGCTACAATGTAAATTATTCCGGTGGAAAGTTCTTTTAATGTCCTTTTTCACAAAGTGGCACTGACAAAAGAAGTAAAGGAAAATAAAGTAATCCTGCTTCACCAATTGGCCTCTTTTTCACTTCCTTTTCAAAACAAAATTTGCAAATGTAGAGGCGCTTACAAAAACACAGAATGAACTAGCCATCAAGATTTTTTTTTTGTTAAAAACCCTTCAAGGCTATACATATGATGAATAAAAAACTGATATGGCTGGGAGGTTCTTACTAGTGGGGAGGTTCTCTCTATGAACGGACTGAGAAGCGACGTGAAGCGCCTGAGAACTGTAAAGAACTGTAAAGAACTGTACACCTGCGAATATAGAGACTAGAGAGGAGAAGTGTAACGTCACGTTACCATGGTAGCACTATTTCTGGATGACAATAAAACCAACGATGATGGCGAAGGCAAGGAGAACAGCAAAAAATAATATGTTTATAATAACTAACAACAACTTTGCACGTACTCACTTTATTTTGTACATTTCTTTGCCATTGTTGCACCACTACAACATGGAACTTCCTAATTTCACGAGCCCGCTTTATGGAGTAGGTGAACACAATATTAAAATTGTCGCTTTCTTTTTCTAAACTTAGATAAGGATAGATACGGTCCCCAAGAAAATTTCGCCAACATTTGCCAAATTAAATGAATTTGAATAAGATCGGTGAAGTTTGAAATAGTGTGAATGGACTTTAAGTGACTTTTTCGGCTTGTTGTCATCCAGAAATTTTGCTACCATGGCAACGTGACGTAACAACTTCTCTTTTTTGCTCCCTACCACTACTGGCGAGGCCAGACTGCCATATTCCCAGGTTACTATGAGAAGGAATGTAGGTTTCCAATTGTCATTTTCTTTGTTTCCCAGTTTGTCATTTATGGAAGTTACTTTTTCATCATCGGAGCTGTTTTTTTGGCTAGAGCTGTGTTCCATATGACAAGAGTTGGATGGCGTCAGTGCTGGGAACAGCGTCATAATCAAGAAGATCAGCAGCCTCTGACAGTCATTACAAACACGGAATATAAAGATGGAGAAGAAAACCAACTGATTTAAGCCACAGATCAACCCACCAAAAGAAAGACAATATGATTCTATTTTCCTCCTCCTTTTTTCCCATGTGGTGAATCCAACACAGCACTTTTTGATTCCAGCTACACAGGCCATCCTGGGATTTTGAGAATAAATCCCCATTATTGAAAGGGTGTCCATTCGTAATTTTTAACCCTTTTTTTCTATGAAAGATCAAGTTCTAGGATAGCCTAGCATTCCTTTTAGCTGTTACAGTAAGGAAACTTTGAGTTGTGTGGTCGGTCCCCACTTTAATCAGGATGGAAATGCTACTTTGATCTGGTGTTGTGGTTAATTTCATCCCTTTTTTATTCTTGTACTTAATTTATTCTAGCCTTTTGTAGAAACGTCATCTGTGTAAGAAGCAGAAGACCCTAAAAAAATATGTTAATGATATGTGTCATAAAGAGTTGTCACGTGATACGTCCCTGTATGTAATGAACCTAATGTTAGTCAGTATCACTGAAAAACCTCATTTTGCGCTGATGAGATATTCGGCACATTTTGACTTAGGGCACTAATAAAAGGAAATTTAACTTTGTCATTTTTGAGCTATGAAACAGGTCATTTTTAGGGTCCTTTCCCATGGTGAGTTTTGGCTATAGGGTGTCAAAAATTACGGCATTTTCACCATGCCGCTGGCCAAAAGTAGCATTGAGACAAGATCGAGACAAGGGAAGTTTCGTGTTATCTGCATTAGCGATATGCCGAAACGGTCGGAGAAGCGCGATTCTACCCAGTGCAAAGAGCTTGTTTCTCCCTCCAAAAAACGGCTGGAAAATCGTGCGACTTCACGCGAAGAAGGAGAAGACGTGCCTGGTCCTAGTTCTGGTGAAGATACTGTAAGCAATATTCTATAGAGACTATAGATTCGATGAGAAGTACGGTACAGTTCATGTATTTGCCCACCATGCACAATTGCATGACTATCTTTGTACATTACTAGCTAGCATGATGGTATAATGGGGCATTACAAAAGATTTGATGTGACAATCATAGAATGATCTGAACAGAAACCTTTTTGTTGCATTTTTTTGCAGCTCCAGAACATGTCTTAGAATTAAGCATGTAGTGTTTTTGGTTTTCTT